TTTATAAAAAATATTTTTATGTTAAATTTTTAAATACATCTACAAGTCCACAGTTACATGAGTGGCTTGAATGGTTATAAGAAAATATGTACATATGTTTTTAAATCGTTATACCCCCTCCTACAGCTGTATTCGGTTCACACTATGTTATAACGAAGAATATTTAATCAATTTTAAAGAAACATTTTTGTGTGGATTAAACAAAAACTAAATAAAATTTAGTTACATAAAAAAAAGGCATTGCCTGGCACTTAAAAGTCAATTTTTAATGTGGCACCAAAAAAATTACAACTCAAATAAATTGGGTGGAACTCACCAAAAAAATCTTGTGCTAGCACAAAAAACAACCCCACTCTAGGATGGGTTTACCTCTCCTCTGGACATGGTTTTAATTTGCGTTCCTTCAAGATTAGGCCCCATTTGGGACAGCAAACCAAAAAGGCTCATGAAACAGCAAAAGCACATCATATTTGAAGAAGGTCCCCAGGACATGGAAAACAACCAGTTCTTTAACATAATGCGTAAAAGCCAAAAGGAGGCCCACAATGGATCGGCCATTTGCAGTTTTTTATGACTTTTTTATTAAAGTTATTTTTACTATTATTTTTATTATGTCGCCTGATCCCTAAAATAAAATGAAAAGTTGTACCTCGATTTAATAAATTTAAAAGGAAATATTTAGCTCTGAAGAGATGACCTTTTTCAAAAAATAAATTTGTAACGCTATGCGCTAGTGACTTCAGCTCGCCAAAACCAAAGATAAAATGGTTTACCTTGTCTTGATCGTTTCCGCCTTTGCTCCAGAGAACACAAAAGTCATGAAACCGAAAAGACGAGGAACGGAAGTATGAGTCGGCCATTTGAGAAACCATACCAGTCCCTTCGGAGTGGTACTGGTGTAGCCAGCACCTCGAAAGAACGGACTTATAAGATTTACTTGAAAAACGTAGCTACTAGTTGTCAAGTTGAATGACAGTGACGGTTACTTGGAAACGGGTAAGAAAAATGTCAATAAACAATATAATTAAATTTATTAGGACTTATAAAAGGTAAAATAGATGACCAAAGGAAATAAAAAATAAGAGATTAACGAGATTAGTGTACAATTTAAGGGTAGGTAACATGATTAAACCATGGCATTTATAATTGAAATACTATTAATTTATTTGTGATAAAAATAACTAAACGAATGGTATTTGTAACTGAAATACTATGTAATTTATTTGTAATAAGACTAAACCAATGGTATTTATAACTGAAATACTATTTAATTAATTTGTGATAAAAAGACATGCTTTTATTCTTAAAATTTAGTAAAAATCTCAAACGATAATCCATATAAATTTACTTTGTCTCACGTTCATTTAATTATTATTATTTTCAGTGCATATGAACGTTACAATGTTGCAAGCAGTCTTATGAGTTATACAGGTCTTTAGCTTTTCAGAGAAATATTCCACGACGAACTTGTGCAATCCCTGAAAAATACCGTAATTATACATTTGTTGCGGTTCAAAATCAATCGTTGTGCGCAATATAGCGTTGTTTCCACAATCAGTACAATTATGTTCTTGGACGGCAGTGGGTATATCCATCAACAACTTTCCAACAAGCCATGAAACATTAGCAGTGCAATCCAAAACGCATTCTTTTTCCTGAAATATATTCGAAAGAATAAGGCCTCTCTCGTTGTATAAAGGAGTGGATGGTCCATTAATGGCATAGTTTTTCATTAACGCAAGAGTACGATTGTTATCTTCTAGAGATGAGCTAAACTGCGATTTTATAATCGCAGTTAAAACTGTGATTGCGATTCTTCCATCACTGCGATTGCAACCTGCGATTGCGATTCTACATTTCGAAATTCGTAAACGACCATACAACATGTTATATTTATATTTACATAGAACATACAGAACAATTAGTAATGATGAATCATAGGATTTGGATGCTACAATCATTGGATATTATAAATTCTATAATAAATCCGTATGTTGTGCCGATTCTATAAGACGGGTCAGTCGGCGTTCGCTGGGAATCGTTGGTTTCGATTCCGACGACAACCGAGCAACCATCTTTGAAAAACGCAGTCACAGTTTTCTCTACAAAGTAATCACAGGTTGCGATTGTCAAATCGCTGTGATTAAATCGCAGTTCGCGATTTTAAGCTCATCAATCAAAGGGGCAAGTATTTTTGACCTGTTCTAATCTACGATCAATGGAAACTGGCCCTTGACATACTCCATTCCGCAAGATGCTAATTTTCTTACGTCTATGAGGTCGATTGTGTACAAGTTCAATTTCTGGACATTGTCGTAAATATTTTCCTTTTGGATTTCTTTTTGTTTTGTTCAGAAAAATTCCTTGTTCATTTTCTTTATCATCTTGCAAAAAGTTTATCGACGCCTTTGCTTTTTTATTCTGGAATATTTGACTGTCGATTGTTTTTGTTCGAGTCTTATGTCGAGCATACTCGTTGCAGTTCTTTTGTCCAGTACATTTTAAAGGCAATGTTAATATATTGGGAATATCTTTTTTTTTCTTCGGAAAGTGTATTTGATTCAAATGTGTGTTTTTTTGAATCTCTTCGCTCTAAAAGTTTTTCAGATTGTGGTAAAATATTTTTGTCCAGGGCAGTCTCCCTATTAGTGTTTCTACCTTTCCAATTTTCTTCTTTAAGAAAATAATTATTCTCATAAATTTTGTTGGACTTTTCGTTGCGTCCTATATCATCTTCCTTTATTATTATGTTTCTAGAACTTTCTCCTTCTTCTTCTGAACTACCATTACCAACATCCGATTCGATTTCGCAAGCTTCTTCGTTCTCTAATTTACCTTCCTGGCTTTCTTCTTCTACAGAATGATTAGTATGTTCTATTTTGTTGTTCGTAACATTGATTTTTTCATAATAGTCTATTTTTAAATCGTGCTCCTCAGACTCTTGCTCGGTTTCATTTTCATTTTGATTTGACGTTACTTCAATTTTTTCTTTATCGTGATGGGTTTGCATCTTAAGATTTTGTTTTTCTATTGTGAACAATGGTTTTTCATTTTTTTCTTTTATTACTGCACGTTCGAATTTGCAGGTGGCTTCGATGGAGCGAATATGCGCTACGACAAATTTATCTGCTCGGATCCTTGAAATACGCTTCAACAATAGCTGAGCTTCCAACATCGTATTTGGGAGAAAATTTATCTTTCATTACATTAGTAAATATGGGAAAAAAGTTGGCCAATTTTTGTAAATGATTGACAAATTCTGGAATATAGTAAGGATTTGGTCTTTGCCAGTCTGAACATTGTTTAGCTTCTTCTTCAGCACGATGTTTAATATTTTCGACGAAATGCATCAACTTCTACAGGTTCTTCTAAAGAATAGTTCTCTTCGGCAGTTGATTTCGATTCCAGCTTATTGTCAATAGGAATAAATGATTTAATGCGTTGAAATAGGTAAGGCTGGTACTGTTGACTTGGAATGTCTTTACCCGTTTTATTTTGACCGTCGCAGTCACTCATTGCTACAACAAAAACTGCCTGGAGCAAATTAACAAATTCCGTCAATGTTTCACAGGTTGTTAAAAGACCAATGCATCGTATATAAAAATCTTTTACTCTCCAAGGTTTTCCGGCAAATACCTTTTTTCTGCAAAACATTTTAATAAGATGAGCAATATCAAGTGGAACATAACATGAAAGCGCATGTTTCAACTTTTCTCCCGTCCGCCACATGAAACAATACAAAATGTAATTTTTCCAATTACATTCATTGAAGCTTAGAGTTATGCCGTTCAAAAGACCCAATGAAAAATCGCAAACGACTTCTTCCTGAATATGACATGCAACAGAAAAAAACGTATTTAACCAGTAATTAACTCCATAACTAACTCATTAGACTATTCCATGATGGCGAAACAAATAATACTGAACACGTTAATAACTAAATAAATAATACAACACGTCGCTATACTTGGCGCGACTCTGACTAAAGACAGAATAGGCAATTAACTAGGCGTAATTATGCACTGTCTGGGAGCTATTGCGAATGAGCGCGAAGGCACTTCGTCTTCCTTTACTGCATGCCGTTTTACCGACAAGGCTACGGATAGCGGGCGAATAGAGGTGTTGATTTTCGTTACTTTTGAATACTCGTTACTAATCGTTACTCGAATACTAAGTAATCATTTAATATATTTGTTACTATCGTTACTTTGATTACTGTAACTGTACTCAATATTCAATTCAATCATACAATTAATGCAAAATTCTCGGACTGTCGTTAATTCGAAGATCATTTACTTGTATATTTTTGTTGTTGATATTATGGAAATATTTAATTGAAATTTTCAAAATGCGGGCTAAAATTAAACAAATTTAGGTAGGAAATACGTAAAAACTGTCCTGTGTACAACTTTATTTTAAAAATCTAATGCCTTACATACAAATAAATACATACTTAAAGTCTAAAAGTAAATAAAAATAGAGACAAAAATAACAATCTTAGATGAGATATCAAAAAACAAAAAGTTTGGACAAAAATAACAAAAATAAAAAATAACATTCTGTATATGTAGATTGTAGTAAAAAAACATATCTTAAAATAATTTATAAATCTTGGTTGTAATGCAAAAAAAAGATAATTTTAACATTTTCTCCCTTCAATCGACTCCTTCGTTCTGAGATCAGCTGTCCAGCTTTTGAAAATATCCGTCCCGAGGGTACAGAAGTCGCTACTATGCATAAATACTGTTGAGCCAATTTGGCTAGATGAGGATATGTTGCCGCCCTGGCTTTCCACCATTCCAACGGATTTTCTTTCCTGCTTATTAAGTCTTCTGCTAGATAAGAACGCACTTCTAGTATTGCCGCTGCTTTTGGATCAATTTCTTTTCGAGATTTGCAGATTTTATTGAAGTCGGTCCAAATTAAATTCTCTTCTCTCTTCTTCTTGATCCATTAAGCTTTCACAATCTGCAGTGTTATCATCGTTAGTATTGGTATTATTATTCCGTTGTTATCTGCCCAAATGGTTTTAAAATTAAACAAATGTCTTTAAGCAACTGCCATTCTTCTTTAGACAGATTCTGAACAGGATTATTTAATATTCCCAAAGTAGCTACGAGTGGCTCTCGAACCTTTAAAAATCTTTCAAACATGAAATACGTCGAATTCCATCTCGTTACAACATCATTTATTAATATTAAATCATTCGACATTTGTCTTTGAATTTCAAGAAATTTGTTGTTCGCCTTTGTACTTCTGTGGAAATGTTCCACTATCGTTTTAACCTTTTTGCGTAATGGTTTAATATCTGAGATTTCCAATCCGCTTTGCACAACTAAATTTAGAGTATGTGCAAAACATCCTATGTGACCCCATCCTGTTAATCTTAAGCCTGCTTTAACATTTGCAGCGTTATCCGTAACCGAAAAAACTTTGTCTGAAATACCCCATTCTTCTGCAATCCTAAATATTTCTGATTGTAAATGTTGAGCAGTATGACTTTCATCATATTGTCCGCATTCTAATAAGCAAGAATGTAAAGTCCACTCAGGGGTTATAAAATGAGCGGTATAAAAAATATAACTCATTTGTCTATGTTGAGCAGTCCATCCTTCTGTAGTTAGAGCAACTGAATCAGCTTTTGAAATCAAATTTTTAAATTTCTCTTTTTTTTGTTCATACTTTTGCGGCAGGAATAAATTAGTTAACGTAAAGCGGCTCGGTATGACAAAGGAGGGCTCCAGACCCCCAATTAGTTCCCGAAAACCCCTATCTTCAACGATTGATAAAGGTTGTAAGTCTTTTACTATCATGTTTATAATTAAATCATTAATTTTTTGCTGCCTAGGTAAAGAAATCGGCCTCACTATATGAGGTTTGTATTTGCGACTGACCTTTTCTTCTTTTTAAGGATGTTTGACTCGTGCTACATTTAGTCCTAGTGCTAGTGCCACTTAATATTGAAGTAGTTTCAGTTTGTCCACAAATCGATTTCGATATAGTTGAAGCTGAGGCGCTAGCTTGGTCTTCATTTGCGCTCTCACTAGACTCACTGCAGTTAGAAGTTGACAACCGTCTTCGACCAGAAAAGTCATCGAAGTGGATCCAGTTCTCTCTAAAGACCAAAACAGTTCAAATTTTGTATAGTTTTAGCTTTAGAAAACAGCTCTTAAATACATGGTATTGGATTAAATAGGTAGGTAGGGGAGACCGGGGCTAGTTGTCACAATTTTTAAACATTATTTTTTTCTTAACCACCTCTCGCATTAGAACCCTATTATTTATTGGCAAGGTACTCTGAAATGTTGCGGACATACTGCAATTTATTAGACAAGTTTGTAATATTTTTTATCACGCTTTTTAATTAATAGTTGTAGCCATGTCAACTGTGACAGTGTGCCCCGGAGAGGGGGCATGTTGTCACAGGGCATGGGGTAAGGTGTCACATATACTACTAATGACTAAACCAATAAGAAAATTATTTTTTGCTTATTATTAAACGGAATCACCTAAAATACAAAAATAGTGTTTAAAATACAAAAATACTGTTCAAAATACAAAAATAATGTTCAAAATTCAAAATACAAATACAAAAAAGGTTAGGAATCAGCATCGGAGTCACAATGATGGCAGACAAAATGGATTGTCATCGGTGCACCCTACGTGCGACCAGTTCTTGCATTGGGTGCATTGTATCCAGGGCTCTTTAGGTATGCTACCCTCGCAACAAACCAAGCAAAATATTTCTTCCTCCTCTTCATCTTCTTGTATAGAAAGTTTTCGCTTTTGTTTACCTTTCTTTTTTTCCCCAAAAACATCCCTTTTTGTTTGCTTGGCTTTGGAACTGGCTCTCATTGCCTCTATCTCATCTTTGACCGGAGTGTCCGTCAAAATTGCAGACTTCAGTTTTTTTTGTTGTTTCCTGTTGGTGATCTGCCTTGCTCCTGCTTTTGGCAAGGGACGAACAGTTTCAGGAGTAACTTGCGATATTGATGCCGTCGGACGTGGTTGGGAAGAAGACGATGAGAGATTTATCCCCAAGGGTCCTGCTCGAGGCAGCGGTGCAGGTGTAGCGGTAACCCCATTTAAATTTTCCGGAGGTTGATCATGTAATGTTGCTTCCTCGGTTGCTTCGGTTGGATCTGGACGGTCTGTCACATAACTAGGCATGAAGTCCTGGTCTCTAAAAACATCTCTATTAAATGGATGAATTCCAGTGACTCGGAATCCTGACGATATATTATTAGGAACAATTGCCAGTAGCAGAGCAGTTGTACCTTTTTCTGGAATATTGTGAATTATAATCGTCTTTCCAGGGTTGTTCTTCATCCACGAAGCACAAGTCGAATTAACAAATTTTTTTAATGGGCCCTAAACACTCCGATCCAAGGGCTGAAGCTTGTGACTGCAATGATGTGGAAATGATAATATAACCACCCCATTATCTTTTGCGAAGTTCAAAGCAGGTATTGATAAATGTGAGTCATGGTTGTCTAGAAGTAGTAAAGCTGGTCTCTCCTTTGTACATCTGATGTGGCTAACAAAGTGCACCGAGAGAAATTTCTTTTAGCCGTTAAATGAAATCTTATCACCATTAAAAGATTTCTGCATTGAATAGGCGCCAGCCTAGCTCCCTTTTCAATGTCATAGAGGTAGTTTTTTCTAAAAACTTGTATTACTATAGAAAAGTAATCGTTTACAAATGAAAATGTGTTATAGATTATTGATATAACAGTTAAATAGTTAAAATTTCATCGTTATAATGTCGATGTTATCAAGATTATAATGTAACTTTTGTTAAGGAAATAGTTGACTTTTTTAGAACTATATTTTTACTGTATCGATGTTAAAAGGTACGTGTATAAAAATAAAATGGTAACAGTTTTAAAATTTAAAAGATTATCTATTGACAACTAAATGGTTTATAAACACGATAAATAGGTTCACTTTATTATTCTTAAAAGAAACTTGTATAAGAACGAAGTAATAACTGTTTCAGCTTTAAAAGACTATCCGTTAGTGGTCAAAAGGTTTCTTCAGAAGAAAATATACTTAGGTAATTGTCTCCTTCCATACGAAATACAGTCATGCAAACTTTTTGTATTATCCGACTTTTATTTCTTATCTTCTATTTAAGCAAAAAAAGTACGTAAGTTAAAGATTAAATCTGTGTTCCTCTGGAGCCGCTGTTCCAAATTTTGATTTTTTTCAAGAATATCGTTTAAAAAATTATGAGATTGTTTGCCATAAAAATTAAATCAAACTTTAGAAAAGTGGCTTTACGAACACCTTTAACTACAAGTACGTATTTTTTTTCACCAAAAAGAAATAAAAACTTTAAAAGTGGGATACGTACAAGTTTGCATGGCTATATTTTGTATTAGGAGACGCATTCCAAAGTAAATCCTCATAATAATGCAAGCTTGAAAAAGTCCTAATCCCGCAATGTGAATAACAGATCAGTTCCTATCAAAAAAATGATAAAATCGTACATGAGCAACAATAACACCTTGTTTTAAACGTGTCAAACAATATTATATAATAATAAAAGAAACTAATAAGTTAAAAATGAAAGGATTTACAATTAAAACACATACATATATAGCCAATTAACATTTATTTAGACAACCACAATAAACAAAATAAATAAACATGAAATAGATAAGAACATAACAAAATAAATATGGATGATACATGAATATTAGTCAACAATTATTGCTTAACTTTGCGGAATTTTTATTAAAACAGTGAAATAAAATTTTTATTGTCTTTTAATTGTATTTTGTGAATATTTATAACAAGATTGTCATCTAGAAACAGACTTTTTCTTTTCTTAGTATTATTTAAATGTAGAGAAAAGCAATGTTCATTAAAAGACAATACTTCCATTTCTTCAAATATAAAACAAATTTGGTTATCTCTATTAACAATTATCAATTCTAAATAACCAAAAGTCCGATTTTCAATATTAAATGAAAATACATCTTGCATTTTAAATACCTTATTTTTTACTGTAACCCTCTTTACCTTAGCAACAAACTGTAAAAAACGATTTGGTATTGTTTCATCTTTTATTAACAAAGCAGAATTTTTAACAACATTGTCAAAGTCTGGGACAATATCATGCACTCTATGATTTTTTTGACAGGTTGGTATCTCATTATCAGTACACAATTCAGATTTTCTTAATAATCTGTTACCTAACTGTAGTTGATGTTTTATAGCTAAAGTGTAGGAAATATTTACTCGAGAAGCCACAACATTTCCTGATAATTTAGAATTTCGATGTTTTGCCTCATAACGAATGGTTGAAATTTTACCTAAAGGGCCACATTTTTTTAAAACTAATGGATAATGGACCATAAAATGAAATTTTGGTTTTAAATTTCCAAACAACTGTTTGTATAAAAAATGATGCTCACGGACCAACTCTCCTAATTTGACATACATGTCAGGCATAACAAAATCAGATAATACAATTTCAAGTATTTTTCTTAACAATGTATAAAGACGCCAAAATTTATTACCTTCTGGAATCAAATCACCAAAAATTAAACCCGCATTTAGGATAAAACATTTCATTTCCGCAGCAGACATTCTTAGGTGCTTATTTTTTACATTTTCGATTGTAATAAGAGGGGGTTTATTATGCCCAGAATCAAATTCAAAGTATTTTAACCTAGTGTTAAGAATATCTATGCTAAAAAATTTTGACACAATAATAAATTCAAAAAGCAAATATGACATTATATAATTTCCTACCCCTTCAAATATGTCATGTGTAATATCGACACTATAATTTTCAGTAACATGAAATAGTTCTATATTATTGAGTATAGGATTAAATCGTATGCCAGTTAAATAGGCATTGTTTATTAATAAGTCAGAAGAATAATTTGTTTTATTTCTCAGCAAAAAAATATTTTCAACCACATCTTTTTGTGTATCAGATTTCCAACTTTTACACAATCTACAAAAAGAATTAGCTACAAAACTTTCTTGAAAACCAAATAGAGAATTTAGAGCTAAATTGTCACCACAAAAGAGAGCTACACAGAAATATATATGTACATTAGTATTATTTATTGCTACTGAAATGCCTTTCTTTGATAATGTATTTAACTCGTCAACTAATTTTGAAAACATTATTTTTTCTCCAAATTCCTTTAGATCTGAACTGTGAAATAGCATTCCAATAAAAATATTGTCCAGACGTGATTGTACTGATGGTGGCAAGCAAGCAACTGAATAATATATGGCCCCAATTTTATGTATGCCTGAATGAGACCCCAATGGATTTCCTATTTCATAATCATCATAATACAAAAAGAGTGGTAGAACAATATCACTACACTTGAAATTTGATATTTTGTTTTTCCAATTTTCTGTTTGAACTATATTAAGAATTATTTTCTGAGTCTTTAAATATTTTAAATATTGCAATGTTTCAGACAAAACATTAGACAATGAAAAAAATGACTGTAACACATTTTTTAATGAAATAAACTGAGCAGTATATTTCTTTGTAATAAGAATACCATTTTTGTTTTTTTCTAAACGCTCCCCAACTGTAAATTCTAAAGGTTTAATAAAAACTCCTAAATTTTCTAGATGTGCAAACCTGAGATATTCACTGTGAAAACCTTCAAATATATTTTCAAGTTCGACAAAATATTTATTTATTTCAAATTTATCGGATTCGGAAACTGAATGATTTTTCAAGATATTTCCTAGATTATTTTTAAACATATTTAATGGATCTAATAATAACACAGTTACTTTTTCTATAATTTTTTGAACATCTTTTCTACACAAAGTTTTTTCTGAATATAAATCACATATGAAATTGATATTATTTTCAGTCATTTTTTCTTTAAACTCATTAAAGGCAGCATCTCTAATAAATACTCGCGATTCAATCAATGAGGTTTCGTTGATGCTATTTGATAAAGAGGGTGAACAATTAACAGACATGTAACATGCTTCGTTAATGTTAGAAACTGTCGAGAAATTAGACAATGAATCATTACTAGAAACCATTTGGCTATTAGACAATGATTCGTGTGATTTTAAATGTTTTCTAAAGGTTTTTAAACATGGAAAATGTCTATGACACTCTTTTTCCCCACAAACAAAAACTCCATATTCTTCACATCTATGAATAATTTTTAAATGTGTAATTAAAGCATTTACTTTAAAAAAAGAGTCACTACAAAAATTGCACTGAGGCATATTATTAAAAAATCGTAAAAACTAACTCAGTCTAAAACTAACAATAAACAAAAGAGTATTAAATCCAAAAAAAGTAGGACTGACAAACATTTAGAGTAATATTACCAGTCACCAAAAACTAAAATAAAAATAAATTCAATTAAAAAAATTATCATACAGGTACTAAAAACCTAAGAAAACATTAATTTTCTTCAATATAATATTTAATGTCAGATATTACTGTAGAAGTGGAGGGTAATTTCTTGGAAGGCTTCATCTGAAATAACAGATCTTCAATTACCAACCAGATGTGTTCACATTCTGGTGGGTAAGCTACATCCAGCCCATGAAAAAATTTAAAGAGGCATTCTAATGTGCGAATGGATGATCCAATTTTGTATTTGATCTCATCAATAATAATAAAATATCCTTCTGGATTTTCTAATGTACCCAAAATGGCCGCAAATGGCTGTAACGTTATGTTATATTCTCGGAGTTTCTTCTTTCTATCTTGAATCTTTTGTTCTAATTCTTCGAGATTCTATAAATTACACACGTCAAATTTTAATATTTTTATGCTTATGTCAGAGAACTCAATTGTATATCATCTATGACTTAGGTCTATTTACTATAGATGAAATACGCCAAATTCTACAACAGCCAGATGCAAGAATGTTCATTCAAAATGTATTAGCCTTATACACTTTGACAGAATGTGACTGTCTAAATGACATGTGGGTTTTTTTTTGGTTCTTTTGGGAACCAGTTCAGAATCACTGAATTATACCCGATCAGCTAATAGGTTATCATAACCTCGCAACGTGATCTTAAAAAACGAATTCGTCAAGTGTATTTGAGAACTAGAATCGCCGATTCTGTTTGAACCAAAACAAACCCATTAACTTCAAATTATTCAGTCTAACCATCTGTCAATGTATATGAGGTTTGTAAATTTTAACACTCATAGTTTTTACCAGTTATTGAGATAATTTAAAAAAATAGTATAAAAATTATTAAATTAAAAGCCTTTTTTAAAACTGAGAGTAACCATAATAATAAAAATCTATTTAAATACTTACTGCATAAATGGAAAAGAAACTTTCTTGAATTTCACTCCTCGTGGGCCTCCAATTATTACCTTTTCTTGACTTTTTCAACATTACTGGAGGACACAAATAAGGCAACGAAAGAATTGAGTGGAGGCTCTTTTCTAAAACAAAAAAAAAACATTTCTTTAAAGTTCGCCATATGAAAAGTAAATTTAATGAATAATAAATTATGTGCAACAAAAATTTGTTTTCTATTAATCAGATTTACAGTTGTACCCGAAAAATTTGCATTCAATATTTCTCCCAATTATATTTTTCAGACAAAAAAATCTAAAGGAGCATTTATAGTGATGAAAAAAGATAGCGTCATCTAAATAAGGCAATGTTTATTTAAATGAACTATGCACTATGATAAACCTTAAAGTGTACAATGGAAGTTTTGAACTTAACCAAATTAATATATTCATCAAATTTAATGAGTTGAAATTAAGACATTTTTTTATTTGCTTTTTAAAAATGTAATTTTACTATAAGGGAACACAGTTCTACAAACTTACCGCAATTAGTATTGTTGGTGACATTAATTTTTCTTTCATTTGCTTCTGAAAGAATCGCTTTTGAAACTTTGGGCCATGTGGTACATATAATATCAATTTTATCAGGAAATTTTCGATTAAAATCTGTTTCAATCTAAAAAACAAAAAAAAATAATAAATTGCTATAATGTATTCTTACTTGACACCGGAAGGTATGAAAAAGTTAAAAGTTTTGGATGACAATAATAAACCTAATATTTTGAAAAATTATGTAGTTCAACATCATTTTCACATAATACATTTCTGGGTTAATAAATATATAACTTACTAGTTCTATTCCATTATTTTGTTTTAAACAGGGAAATTCCTTATAAATTTCAGTAAGTCCGGCATTACCATACAATTTTCGTCTAAGTTTGCTAGAATTTTCCCAAGCCTCCAAAACTTTATTGAATGGTTCTATAGCGACTTTTAAGAAGTTAAGAAATTGTTTTTCTTGATCATTTTCATCGGGGACCTTATTCTCTTTCTCGCATACGTTTATGCTTTTAGTTACTTTCGATGTATTTGCAGTGTTTAATGCATGACGTACATTAACGTATTTGTTCCACAATTTTCCTTTGGGTCCCACTCCTTTACCTTTCTCTTCTTCAATTGAACTATCAATCTCGTTTTCAATTTGTATTAGTTTCCGTTTCTTTTCGGGAGGGAAGTACGGTACAAAATAAGATTCGGCCTTCTCGTTATGGAACAATCTTTCGATTTCGTTGGAGACTCTTAAAAAAATATCTGTTTTGATCCTTGAATGAAAAATATCTAAATTATGTCAATGACTATTTCATTTCTTGTGCGAGGTGTGTATACTTATAAAAAATTATTGTTACATCCAAAGTAAAAAAGGTTAATTTCATGGCTAAACAAGATTGTCAATAGGCCGCAATTTTTAATAGTTGTAAGTAATTGGAGGGTCAACTTAACCTCACTGCAGCTTAGAATGAACAATTTTATATTATTCTTTATTAAACCGTTATTTTAAATATAAAAAACAAATGGCAAGATCAATAGTAAATAAACAGCTGTGAGGTCAAAACTGCACGATTTGTCCTCCAACCACTTACAGCTATTTAATAAAAAAAATGTCGCTTACTTAATACCGTAGACTCTAATTAATTCGTTGACGATACAGCGTACCAATTTCTGCCTTAAATTATTATTTAAGTGGCCCTTATTCAATAGAACAAGTTTTCCATCAGTTGACTTGTTTAATGTTAGCTCCAAACCCTGAAATATTCAGCAATTTTATACACACATTTACTATCCCATGGAAGGTTGGACAAAAATAAAATAACTGCTTTCTCAACTCAAAAAAGATAATTAAACACAAACTTTTAAGCCTAGTCAATAAAATATTAGTTGCTTGTTTCAGTTTATCAATATATCAAAACAGATGAAAATTAAACACAAAATGATCAAAAATATAACTATTTACTAGAGATCCTAATTGAATGTTAAAATCAGCCTTGATTTTTTTTTATATATATATTTTTGTACTAAAATAAACAAATAAAATAAGGTAAAATAGACCCAATTTATCCATAATTCAAAGAATTAATTACTAAATAAACTGACAGTCTGTATTGCATGCAAACAGTACCAAATAAAAAGTATTAAAAATATACCTCCGGAAAAACACTTTCTTTTTGACGATTACTGTCTCCTACGACTAACTGGATAGAATTTGATGGACCAGCTTTCTCAACATCGGCTTGAACTGGTTCATTTAGATTATTTTCTGCTAGAATTGCTAGAAGTTCGTCATCGGGTTCAAATACTAACGCATCCGAGTTACTATCATTACCATTACTTTGAGAGAAGGAATCTATCTCCTATATTGAAATTTTATTAATTTAGAGATAGTAAAAGACAAACAAAAACTAAATTAAAAAAATCTCGAGACCTGAGGGAAAAAAGGGAAGTTATTATGTATGTATTTATGTATATATATATATATATATATATATATATATATATATATATATATATATATTTTTGGGTGTGCATGTATATTTTTTTTAACTATTGTTCTACGAAGAAATCATTCTCATTTATATAGACAAATTTGCAAACATTGCAATAATTGTTTAATAGATTCAAACTAAATCAATTAGTAAATAAAAAGTTTAACAAGAAAATATGTTTTTATGCCTTTCATAATTATAGTTTTATTTAAAAAAAAGGGAAGTATGTATTTAAAAAATAGTATTTTCACTATTTGAATATATATTGCTCCAGAAAGAGAATTAAAAATAATTATCTAATTATTAATTTTTAATAATAATAAATTACCACACATAAATTAAAAATATGTAAACCAATATGTTTCAATTTTGAGAGAAAAATGCAAAGAAATTTAAAAACATACCGATCCTTTGGCAATGTAGTCTTGAAAATGTTTTCTAAATATAAGCCTTGCTCCACACTTAGGAAAAATTGTTTGAATAGTGAATTCATCCAAAAGTGGAAAACTATTATCATCAATTCCTTCCTCTAAAATAAAAAATAAATTACTGATTTTTTCACCAAAAATTACTTGTTAAAAAACTCAAAATTGTCCTCTATTAATTACCTTCAAATTTATCTACATGGGACTCTAAACCCCACTCTATGAGTTTCAACTTATATGCCATACTGTATGTTTCCCCGTTTTTTCTAAAAGTCAAACAAGTATAAATGGAAACACAGATAAAAATTATTTACCTAAGTCTAAGTATAAAGGTAGTTTTTATGTTTTCGTCTATCTGAATGAAAACTGTAATTATCTCATATAAAGTAAGTTACTTTTTATAACTGTGCAGTTCTTTTATTATAGTTGGGATAAAAATAAGACAGATCAGATTTTATTTTTTTTTGTGGTCAAACTGAGAGTTATAAAAATTTACAAAGATAAAAAAAATATTTCTAAAAATATTAACTAAAAAAATATGTCTTCAGCGTAGGCTCTAAAAAGTTACCACCAAATTTGTATTGCGAAATTCTTGTTTAATATACTTACAACTTACTAATGAAGACTAAAATCATCTCAGAATGTGACATATAGTGATAGAACATGGCAGCAAAAAATTATAAAAATCGATTACAGCCTACTCCTTTTATGCCCAAAATTATTATTTTTTTTATATTTTTAGGCGGCTATCACAAAGAATGACATTTTACGGATCTATTAACGTCCCTAAAATGTCACTTTTTTGGCCGCTTTTTATAAATACAAGTTTATCATATTTATTTTAAAATCGTTGATGGTGCGTCACTTGATTATAACTCTGTGGAAGCACATAGTTGTGAGCAATTTAAAAGGTAATTGAATAGTTTTTCATGGTCATGGACGTCCTTCATAAGGGAAAAATGTGTTGTGATTAAAAGGTTATAGGTATCAATACATATTTACTGTGTAAAAAATCTGATGTGTCCAACACATGACTTTCCTATCTATAGTTATTACAAGCTTTTTTCGGTTATTTTGTACAACCTATTGTAGCACCTCTGTAAATGATTAGAGGATAAACTAAATATATACATTTTCCACATACTTCTAATTCGAAACATTTTTTATACATTTGCCAACGAAAATACTAAAAAATTAAAATTTTACTCTTTTCGTCCAATTTTTCCATTACGGTGCATTTTAGAGAAATCATGTATAAAACAAAACTTATGGAGTTTGATATCGCAAACAACTTTTTAACAATTTTCTTAAAAATCAGAATTTTGCACATCTTGTCAAATTTCTCGATTACGGTCCATTTTTAGGACAATGGTGTATGGAACAAAAATAATATAAAATTATATCAAAAACAACTTTTATTTAAACAATTTTCTTAAGAAATTGAATTTTTTACATTTGTCAAATTTCTCGAATACGGACCATTTTAGGAAATTTTTGTATGGAACAAAAATTTTAGAGAATAATATTAGAAGTAACTTTTATCTAAAGTATTTTCTTCTGGAATAGTAAATAACAGATATATTTTATAAAATATAAAAATGACCACGCATAAAGTACCCTCCCAGAAGTTCCGACTCTGCCCAAAATCTAATCAGTTCACCGCAGGCCGGAATAAAGCTTAAGTGTGAAATTTGGTGTTTTTCTTTGTATCGGTTCATGAGTTATGGTGGATATATACACACACACACACGCGCGCGCGCGCCCACACACACACGCACACCCGCACGCACGCACACGCACACACACGCACTCACACACGCACACACACGCGCACGCACGCACACACACGCACACACACCCACACGCACCCACGCACGCACGCACACACACGCACGCACACACACGCGCACACGCACGCACACACGCACGCACACACGCACGCACACACACACACACACGCACACACACATGCACACGCACGCACACACGCACGCACACACATGCACGCACACACACGCACGCACACACACGCACGCGCACACACACACGCACACACACGCGCACATACACACGCGCTCACACGCACACACACGCACGCACAAAATCATGATTCCTATACTTTCCTTATCTGTATACAAATAGGAAAGTAATAAAAGTTAATCACGAGTTTAATTAATAACAGACATTATTTAATATTTTGAGGATCAACCTAACATTTTTAATCATATTTCTATGTCTATCGAAGTAGTATATTTAATATTAAAAAAATATACCAGATAATAAACTAAAAATACATTTTTTAGGAAAAAAAAAAATACTAAAAAATAATATACCTGTCGACCCTGTAGTTATATCACTTAGGCCACATTTTTTCACCTATAAGGCACATTTTGAGTATGTTTTAATATGTAATTTGATTTTATACTTTTTTTACGATATTGCAGGCAAAGCTTTGAAAAATTTATAATATAATATATATTGCCTCTATGATTTATTTCGTGTGTTACTTCTACATAATATGCCTACTTCATAACACCGCTTTGTTCTTCCTTTTTGTACAGATAGGTAACATAATTAAGTATAATTGATTGCAAAAAAATTATTTTTCAATTAAGACACTTATTACTTTATTTTTGTTTTCCTTTTTTTAAATAAATATTAATATTTATCGATTATAATTTTTTTCACTGGGTATTTTAACATGCTTGTTTATAAAAAACTACGAAAAAGATGGCCGATACTGAGGCATGCGCACAATTTTTTTTTGATGAAAAGGCCTATTGTAACTCAGAATTATAAATTATTTGACTGCCACTTTTACCTATTAGATTATTATAATAACAGAATAAGTGGTAAAATGAAGAGGTGATAGACGAGACGCCGTTAAATGCATTCATTTTACCAATGTCGAACTTTCTACATGCCGATAACACTGGCAGATTTTTAAAGCAAAAATAATTATGCATTTTTATTTAAATTTTACCAAATGTAGCTTGTACTTACTTGTATGTATGAAGTTCTAATTTTTCACTATAGCACGAAAAACCAAAATTAAGAAACACGTGTACCGTTTACTCCAAAAAATGATTTGCTAATGAAAAGAACAAACAAAAACAAATGCAGATTAGCAAGAAGGAAACAGAAACCGATGTCGGCGTTGAGGATACGATCATTGACCGATGATGGGCGATTGCTTGCTTAAAACAACAGCGTTGTCAGAACGATTATATCAATTTCTCTAAGTATACAATAAAAACCCCCAAAATCGTAAAAAATTATAATAAAAAAATAAAAAATAATAAAAATAAACTATTGTCATGCAATTTGTGATATATAAATATTTAATTTAATTAAATAAACATGGACAATTCAATAGAAAAATCCTCAAAACTTTAATAAAAGTTGATAAAACAATAAATTTACATTTGTAATGTGTTTCACACAGGCGAGGCGCAAAATTAAATGCCCCTAACAAATAATCTCTAAGAAAGTAGCTCCCAGATTTAACCTAAACTGATAAAAAACTACACAAATTTGGGGAAAAAACCCCCAATCTGGCAACCTTGTAAGACGATATGCCGTGAGTCGTGTTAAAACGTTTGGCGCTTTTTCTCCTTAACCAATAAAAAGTAAAGCCTTGGAATTCAAATAGCCGTTGTTTCATTAATTTAAATGATAGCTGTTTAACGAGAACAATATGAAATTTAACATTGACATGGTCATCTTTTAAGGGTTAAAATATATATTTTTCAACTTCATCTTTTAACTACAATCGTGTTACTTATTGCAGTTATGAAGTAACTTTATTAAAACAAAAGGGTTGATTTGAAAAAAATACCTTTTTTATGATGAAAAGTTTTTTTGTAACTGTAATCCGAAAAATTTTAATGGCTACAATATTTTTTTTTCACAGTTATATGATTTTTTTGAAAAAAAAACTCTATTCATCTGATTTTTCTCGGTGTGGTTAATAAATATCAGGAAATGCTCTTGATTCATCCAACCGGACGGATTAGCTGTTCCGACGCTTCCAGGAGGGGAGATTTGCAGAAAATGGTCATGAAAATGAACAAGAGGGAAAACGAATAAGGGCGGGATACTATTTCCAGTAGCAGAAACTGCAACAGCCAACATTACCAACGTGCCTCTTTTAGCTGAGGTTAGAGAACCGATTTGCTTGTATCCCCTTCGAGCAACTATACGATCAGGTCGCTGTACTGTGGTTATTCCAGTTTCGCCCATGTTATATATATCACCTGGGAGAAAATGATGACGGTCTAACAGAATTGCCAAATTGTCAAAAAAACTTCCCACGTTCGTTTAATTAAAGCTCCTGGCCCTGGACAAGCTTGTGGTGTTCGTATTGGCAGTCTCATATGGCATTTTAAGAAACTAGTGAACCAATCTGGACCGGCCATATGATTTTGAGTCCATGTTTGAGGCATTTTCTTGTTCAGAGCTTTTGCGTAACCATAAGCAAGTTATCTTGCCTCTTTAGGAGTTAAACCGAGATATATATCTGAAGCCTTCTTTAAATAGTTCTCAAAATCTAGTTCTTCGGAATCACTAAAAACTTGCCTGGCTTTCTTGTATCCCATCTTAACATTAGAATTACCGGAAGCAAGTTCCTCATCGGTGACTTTTTTACAAAACCTTGCCAATGTTCTAGTGGATGTTAAAATGTGCTGCTGCTTGTCTGATTGATATGGGGGTTTCCTCAGTTCTAACGGCTAAAGTAGCCCTTAGTAACACATCCCCATCAGGTCGATCCGATCTATCGGTTTTTTTCCGATATGGTCGAAGCATATGTAAAGAAATCATATGTATAATCCCATAATAATTATCCAACGGGGCATATTGTCACTGTGACAACTACCCCCCTCGACAATGTGACAACTTGCCCCACTGGATATTTTGAAACAAGCATGCTTATATCTTTTTAGTCAATTGAGTCAAAGTCGTTATTTTAGTATTTCTAAAACCTAAGAAACTCTACTAAGAATTTTATATAGTATGCATACCTTGCCACTAATATTAACATAGCCACAACAAAAAATATGAGAACTTAAAAATTTACAAACGCTATGCGTGTTTACACTATCATGAACTACACTCGAATGAGAAATCGCCGGCCACCGCGGAGTTGTCACATCGCGCCTGACGAGCTTCACGGAACAGTTGATGGGTCGGTTGGCCTTCCTGATCTGTGCATGTAGCCAGAACCGGCGTAGTGACAACATGCTCCTGTGACAACTAGCCCCGGTCTCCCCTACTAGTGTATTTTTACCTTCAATATATTTTTCTTTGGCTCGAGGTTGAGGTGGTTTGCCAGTTTTGCTCAAAAAAGTGTGATGTTTTGACTTTAAATGTTTCATTAAATTTGAGGTCGAACCTCCTTTATATGAGTATTTGGACCCACAAATATTGCATTTGGCTGATACCAAGGATAAACTTGTAAAATGAAGCCAAATTTCACTCCGGTTTGATTCCATTTCAACCTAAAAAATATTTTAAAACACAAATTAATTAAGAAGCAGAAATTCCACATATCGTTTTTCTTCTGAAAAGTTCGGTATCAAATTTTGTCTTATTTGTAAAAATTGCTTTTTAATTATATCTACTTATATGTAAGTATACCAACACCAATATCTATTACCTAATAAGTACAGCATCATCACGCGAGAATGTCCGTTCCGGGTCTATACCTTTTTTATTTGTCAAAATACGGAAAGTTTTTATTTTATGCCATTCACTTTATGGTGTATAAAATAACATTAAGGTATCTGAACTGAAAAGGCCCAACAGCTTTTAAATAAAAAAAAGTCGTATCTTGCCAAGCAAAAAAGTTATTTCTTATGTGATGACCCTATACTTAGGGTGACCAGATTTGTTTGCAGAAAAGTAGGACAACCAGGACAAAAAAGCCTGATTTTTAATAAAAAACCCTGACATTTAACAAATATATTTATATAAAAAAATGTAACAATTTCTACTTAGGTAAAAACTACTTATACTTTTCAGAAGAACCAATTTCTTTTAAAATATTGGGATTGTCCATCAAATAATTATAATATTCCTCACAAGACATTTTTAAAATAAATTTTAACATTATGAGGCTTTTTATTGATTCGATAGATAAACGGTTTCTTTCTTTGGTCCACTGCGCTGCGATTTAAGAAAAAATTCGCTCGACGGCAGCATTATGTGTCGGAATAGCAAAGTAGAATTCACAAATTTTAAGCAATTCTAAAGATAAATCAATGTGTTTTAATTGCTTAAAATAGTAAGACCGCTTTTTATCTAAAGATAATGATAAAAATTCCTCATTTTGAATCTTTGTTGTCAAACTGTCTTTTAATAAAATGATTTCATCAATTAGTTTTGTGTCATTAATTTCTACCCCTTTTTTGGATAAAAATTCAATACAGGGCAAAATATCATTAAATTTAAAGTTTGCATCATTTAAAAGCATCCATTGAAATAAATTAAATTCTTTCAATGGAGCGGCCCATTTTTCTAAATAAATTTGGCATAAAATTGCCATACTTGCTCCTTAAAATCATTAATTTCTTTTTGTAATCCATTTTCCCTTAACACATTTAACTGACTTCTTACTTTTAATGGTATAAATTGCTCGGAGAGCCTTCCTTGTAGTGCTGTGAGGACTGATGCAAGAATGTCCTGCCCTTCCAAAATGGAAATATTTTCTTTTTCAATTAACGCAACGTTTACATGGAAAATGTGCATAGTTGAATGTAACAATCACAAATACATTTCTGAAAATTCACTCTCAAAAAATTTTCTAAGCATAGCTGGACAGTCTTGCTGAGATTCAAAGTAGGATTTAAGTGCCGGATAGAGTTTAAGAATCCGTTCAATGGCTGGAAACATGGATAGCCATCTTGTTTTGCTATGATATAAAAGCGGCTTTTATTGCTTCCGTTCTTACCGTGTAGATTGAAAAGTAGTTAAATATTTTGAAGATGATTTAGTCCACATCACACTGCACTGAATCAGCTCCATGCTGTATACAATTATGAAGAATATGGGCTGGGCAACCTACACCAACTATATCTGAATTTAAGTCTTGCTTCTTGTTGCTTAAAACATTTTTTTGTACTCGTCTTGCGAGACCTCCAAAGTTTACATTTAGCATTGTCGCCGGAAAAAGCGATACACTTGGAAGTAATGTTAAATTTTTTGATGGTTGTTATCAGATATTTTGATATGGCTTCAGCCGTTTCACTTGAAAGGGCAGATAATTCCAATACCTGTGTCTGAATTCCGTTGAACCATTGAAAGTACTGGACAACAACAGGAAACATTTTAGTAGCTCCATGATTACTTGCATCTGTACCCATACCATAGAAATTTACAGAATTTATACCTGATATTAATGTTTCTTGTGCGTGAGGTTAGAGTACATGATTAACAATTGCTTCGGTTTTTGTTCTTCCGCATCCAAATTTAGCAGTTATTGCTGAATCCGGAAATATCTAAAAAAAATACAAAGAATATGTTGTTAAAACTTAACATTTGCTATTAATAACTGCATAGGTACCTTTTTTATTAACGGTATTTTTTTCCTAGTAACTTTTGGCTTAGCTGTTTTTACTAAATTGAATAAATATTTAAATACATTTTAGTAACAGCCAAGTACATTTTTATTAATTAATTAATTTAAAACATGTCTTTATTGATCAGATCACAAAAATGTCTAAGTTTATTTTTTTAATTTATTTCTCACTTTTAACTCGAAGGAGAAGTGTTTTGAAAACACCCTGTATATATTTTTTACTTCAAAATTGGGTACCTACCTCTTTAAGAAGAGATGAAGTGCAGTCCAACGATCTATAAGACTGATGGTGCGAAACGGTGTGATATACTAATGTACCTTCTGCAGCTTTAAGTTTAAAATCAACTGAACTATTCTTTTGGACGAAAAAGTTACCCAGTTTCATACAAGAGGAAGAGGCTTGAAGACTTTTCTTGTGTTTTTCCGTAGAAATATGTTTTTCCAGATCTGCTGCTCCTTGGCTGCCAACAGAAACAAACGAATCACAAGGCACACATTTGGCTTCTTCTTCATTTCGGCCTCTTACAAAAATTTTGTATTTTGCCGCCAGTTTTTCGGTAAATTTACACTTTCTTTTAGACATGATGTTTATTTGCTGATGCTGAACTTAAATTGAACTAGTGAACTATGAATACTCAACTGTGAAGTGAAACGTCGGTTTTTATACTCGGAGGAAAGGGGCAGTCTAAAGTCAAAACAACTAAAAGCGATTTAGATTTTACGCACGCTCTCTAGTTATGTCGATCGGTATGCGTTTATCCTGTGTCGGGTCGGTATCGATATATACGCGGCGACCGACGCGGCGCGGCGTTGCCAGCTCGAGAAAGTCGGAACCAGGAATAATGATAATGTGCGTTTCTAGTTATTTAGAATTTTTGATTGATAAAAATCCGGACACGACAAAAAGCCGGCCTGACGTTTTCATTTAAGCGAAAAAGCCGGACATGTCCGGCTTCATCCTGACGTCTGGTCACCCTACTATACAAATGAAATATAATTATTTGTCTTACCTTTTATTATGCTATATGGTCACTCAAATTTCACAAGCTACATAATATTAATCTTATTCACCTAGGTATTTAATTAAACATACACGCATCAAAGCGACGTATCGCAAGGGAGCAAACTAACAAGGACAAAACAAAATATTGCGTCATCCGTCATCGGTATCCCTGAGCTGAGAGAAAAACAATTCGGGGAATCACATAATATTTAAAATGCAAGCATTGCAAACCGACAGCCGAGGCCGAGCAGTCCGAGTTCCGAGAAAGCGGATGCAATCGTCAAACTACTTCAAACAAACAACATTGCCAGATTGTCACGTCCTACTTTTTTTTGTTGCTACCTTTTACAAATACAATTTAAACGCGAGTTATGATCGATGACCCCATATACCTTTTACAGGAAAACGGTATCGGGTTGCCGGCAGTGTTACTGAACCTATGTGAAGTGTGTGAATTGCTGACTCTAACTTTTTTTCATAGTAACATTTTAATAAAATAAAGTTAGTCTGATATAATAGCTTGTAACGACAACATTACCATTAAATATTAAATATAATTTATTTTGGGTTTTTATTCAAGCAATAGCAATAAAAATTCTTTTTAAAAACATTCCTCTCAACGAGAGACTTATAAGTCGCGTTGTTTAAATCAAGATTTAGTCAATATGAAGCAGGGAAATAACGAATCTCCTTATGAATTTCATAAAAGAATTATCGCTTTGCTTAGTACAGTTTGCAATTACATTGATTTACATTGCCAAGGGGCCGAACGAGATTCAAAAAGATCATTTTTCACTAAACAGGATTTAAAATCATTTTAGCTGGGTTAAAAGACCCATTAGGTCCTATAATTCGTGCAATGAGACCGACAACTTTGCAACAGGCAATTCAATTTGTACGAGAGGAAAATAATGTTAAATATTATCAAAAAGGTCAAAATTATTCTAATTCAAATCAAACCGCTAGTAATATTTCCAGGAAACCAATAAATCCTATCAATAATAATTATAATCGTCCAAATTCATTTCGATTTCCCCAAAATTCTCGAGATCATTTTCAGAATTATTCTCAACCCTCAACCTCATCTCAATTCCCCAGAGGGCCTATTCAAATTCAAAGACATCCAAATCCTCCTCAAACTAGATTTCCAACAAATAATCAAGTTTTCGGAAAACCCCAAAATGTATGGAAACCAAATTCCAATTATGTCCAACCCAAAGCTACCCCTATGAGTACAACGACAAGAAATACTACACCCCAAGCTCGAAACCAAGGTTATAATAATTTTCAAAATTTTAATCAGAAACGTAATTTTGTTTCTGAAGAATTATTTAACGCCGAAATTTTACCTGAACACTTAGGAAATGACGAAATAAGTGACTTTGACAAACAAAACTTTGAATACGTAGATGACGAATGTGAGGATTTTCAGATAAATGCCTCAACGGACCACAAGACATAATAGAACTTAACGTTTCCTCGGATAAAAAAGAATTACCCTATATAAAAATTTCAAATCCACCCCTTATGCTTTTAATAGATACAGGTGCTACTAAATCATTTTTGAGGCCTGAAATTGCATTCAAATTATATAAAGAAAACATATTTAGAGAACCATTTGTTGTTTCATCTGTTTATCAAACGTCTACTCATCAAAATTGTGCAAATATTCCGATATTTCCAGAATTTAATCAAAATGGAATTTTAAAGTTTCACCTCTTTGATTTTCATAATGTCTTCGACGGATTAATAGGTTTGGAGCAATTAAAATTGCTTAATGCCCAATTAGATTTTGTAAACTCAAAATTAATTACCCCCAACACAATTATACCAATACATTATCTTGTAAATAAAAGAAAAATTATTTTTAAAAGAAAATTAGACCCTCATAGTAGTATTTTAACAAAAATTCCAGTATCACAAATAGAAGGTGATATTTTAATTCCAAAGCAAATTGTTAATAATTGTGAAATATCATCCAGTCTTTCGAAAGCTGAAGATGGCTTAGCTTTTGTCGAAATTTGTAATAAAACTGATGACGAAATTATATTTTCTTTAATTGAACCGTTACAGACAAGTACTTTTGATAGAAATTATTATGAATTATACCATTCTGACATTTTACCATATGACAATAACGCTGAAAAATCAGATATTGACAATCTTTTACGTACAGACCATTTAAATCTTGAGGAAAAACAACAAATTGTGAAATTGTGTCGTAAATATTCTAGTATTTTCTACAGAGAAAATGAACCGTTAACTTTTACAAATCAAATTAAGCATAATATAAGGACTAATGATGAATTACCGGTTTATACAAAATCTTATCGATATCCATTTGCACTCAAACAAGAAATTCAAAGGTAAATACAAACCATGTTAGATCAAGGTATTATTAGACATAGTAATAGTCCCTGGTCCTCAAATGTCTGGATTGTGCCGAAAAAGGCTGATTCCTCTGGCAAAAAGAAATATAGAATAGTTGTAGATTTTAGAAAATTAAATGAAAAAACGATCGATCATCGCTACCCTATACCGAATATCAATGATGTGTTAGATAAATTAGGGAAATGTAATTACTTTAGCACCCTTGACTTAGCGAGTGGATTTCATCAAATAGAGATGAGTCCAGAAGATATCCCAAAAACAGCTTTTAATGTTGAAAATGGGCACTATGAGTACACTCGAATGCCAATGGGTCTGAAAAATGCGCCTGCCACCTTTCAGAGAGTTATTGATAATATTCTCAGAGGGTTACAGAACGAAATATGTTTAGTTTATCTCGATGATATTATAATTTTTTCAACCTCATTACAAGAACATATAACTAACCTTGACAAGGTTTTTCAAAGACTTAAAGTTACCAACTTTAAATTACAACTTGACAAGTGCGAATTTCTAAAGAAAGAAGTCGCATATTTAGGACATATCATTACCCCAGACGGTGTTAAGCCTAATCCGGACAAAATAGCCGCGATAAAAAAGTATCCGATACCTAAAACAACGAGAGAAATAAAATCGTTTTTAGGTTTGCTCGGGTATTATAGGAGGTTTATTAAAGACTTTGCCAGACTGACGAAACCTTTGACAAGGTGTCTCAAAAAGGACGCAAAAATAGAACATACGCCCCAATTTATAAAATGTTTTGAAACGTGCAAAAATCTGCTGACAAATGATCCAATTTTACAATATCCCGATTTTAGTAAAGAATTTATTTTAACTACTGATGCGAGCAATGTTGCTCTCGGTGCAATATTGTCACAAGGTATTATTGGCAAAGATAAACCCGTTGCGTATGCCTCTAGAACTCTTAATGAGTCTGAGCAAAACTACAGTACGATCGAGAAAGAATTATTAGCCATTGTTTGGGCTACAAAAATCTTTAGACCGTATCTGTGGGGTCGAAAGTTCACTATACAAACTGATCATCGAGCATTAAAGTGGCTGATGAATCTAAAAGAACCAAATTCGAAGCTAGTTAGATGGCGCTTAAAACTAGAAGAATTCGATTACGAAATTGAGTATAAAAAGGGTAAAGCAAATACTAACGCCGATGCCCTCTCTCGAGTAGAAATAAATACTAACGAATTAACTGATTATTATATAGAAAATTTTATTGAATCAATATTAAATGAAAGACAAGACGAAGATAATTATTCGGTAATAGCTAATATGGGTGACGAACAGTCAGAGCGCGAAAAAGACACTGACGAGCATGACGAAATTAATGACAACAATGAAAATGACAATGACGACGAAACTAATCATACCAGTATTGAAGAACCTATTTTAGGAATGAAAATTTCTGAAAAATGTATAAATTCATATGATCACCAAATATTTATTGATTTTGTCTTACATTCTGCCGCTAAACCAAAAATAGAACAATTGTTCCCAACAAAAAAACGACTACATGTACAAATTGCAATAAATAATATAAAAGAAAGCACAATTAACTTGTTTAAAAATTATATCGATCCAAAATTTACTCATGCAGTATATTTTAAAAACGAAAATGCAAACGAAAATTATATACCCCTAATATTGGAAGTTTTGAGAGAAACTTTCAAAAATTCTGCTTATAAATTAATTCATTGTAAGACTCTATTAAGCGACGTAACGAACAAAGACGAACAACACGAACTAATTAGAAATTTTCACGAAGGAAAAACAAACCATCGTGGAATACTGGAGACAGAGACAAGAATAAGACAGACATACTATTGGCCAAGTCAAAAAAATGACGTTGCCGAATTTATTAATCGTTGTGAAATTTGTCAATCTACAAAATATGATCGGAATCCTCCGAAACAAAAGTTATTGATAACCCCTACCCCTTCTAGACCATTTGAAATTATTTACATTGATGGATTCTCAGCACAAGGGCAAAAATACTTAACAATAATTGATACCTTTTCAAAATATGGGCAAGCATACCCACTTGCAGCATTGACAGGGATAGAAATGATTAAAGGTCTTTTAATTTTCATGACACATCATGGTTCACCTAATCTTATTATAATGGACAATGGAAGTGAATTAAAAAACTCAATGCTTCAGGAATTTTTAGACGTTCA